ACTTTCTATGCCTCAGTTTCCCCATCTGTAAAAGGGGATGCACATGTTCCTCTCTAATTCTATCGTCATTCTTAAACCTCATGCTTGGAATAGCAATTAACGTGAACAGAAACTAACATATTTCCTGCTAGACTGTGAGCAATGTGAGAGAAGAAAAAACCACTTTATTTCTCCTTAATGTAACCCTCAAAATCTAGTCCATTGTCTGGCTCTTAATATATATATATAGTTAGGCTCCTAATATAATAGTAAGCTCTTAATAATTGTTGGTTGAATGAATAGATTTATAACTGAAGTTTTTATATTTGTATTCAGATCATAATTATCATTATAATTTATTTTTTTTTAAATGAGCACTTACTGAGTTCTTGCTCTCTGCCAGGTACTGTTTCAATTGCTTTACATACATTTTCTCATTTAATCCATCGAACAACCCACTAAGATAGGGTCACTATTACTCCAATAACTATTCCACTTATCACAGTAATTATTACTCTAATTTTATAATTCATTTATTTAGAAGACTGAGGACACAGAGAAGTAAAGAGTTTGCCTGAACCTAGAGAATATCATGCTAAGTGAAATAAGTCAAAGATCAATACCATATGATTTCACATATAAGTGGAATCTAAAAAAAACAAAACAGAAACACTCATAGATAACATAACAGAGAACAATCTGATAGTTGCCAGGTGGGAAGGAGTGTAAGGGGATGGTTGACAAAGGTGAAAGGATTAAGATGTGCAAACTGCCAGTTATAAAAACAGTCACGGGGATGTGATGTATAGAATAGGGAATAGAGTCAATAATATTGTAATAACTATGTATGCTGTCAGGTGGGTACTAGACTAATTGGGGTGATCACTTCATAAACTGTATAAATGTCAATTCACCATGTTATACATCTGAAACTAATATAGTATCATATGTCAACAGTAATTGAAAAATAAAAAAAAATATTTTAAAAAAGAATTTGCCTGAGGTTACACGACTTGCAGATGGAAGGACCAATTCTAACTAGACAATAGCTCCAGACTCAAGGAACTCTTATCCTTGCACCATACTGCTTGCATTTGGGGATTTTGTGGATAAAGTACTGGTGTTTGATTTCACTGTCAACACATTATTCTGCGATGTCATTTTAATAAACATCAGTCACCTCTTCTCTGGGCCACCTTTAAACTCCTAGGCTGTGAAGGCCTCAGGGCCAGAGACTATGCTTTATTCATCTGTCTCCAGCACTCAGCCCAGCTCAATGAATATTTGAGACTGAATTAACAAACCAGAAACAGACTGTTCATGTGACATTGGAAAGTCTGCATCCAATTCCTCTGAGAAACAAATGCTTTCCAACATCTAAAAGGTCTGTAATTTTTAAGATGGCAAGATGAATAATGATGCACATATTATATTTCCACCAGTGATTTGCAGACTGTGAGACCAGAAGACCAGGGACTACTCACCTCCAGGGACCTGTTCCATGAATATCTTGACATAGCCATTCTGAGAAACAGAGCCCAGGTACTGAACAATATTGCAGTGCTTGAGGTACTTACGCAGGGCTATCTCCTCATGCAGAGGCTGGGAGTACCTAGTAGGAAAAACAAAGCCAGTGTCACCTGCCAAATCGCTGGGGCTCAGGGTCCACAACACACCTGACTAATACCTGCCCTGCTGGGGCCAAAGTGTGTCAAGTTTCTCAGGCACCCAGTGGAGTGTCTGGTGTGTGGTAGGTACACAATGAATGGCTGCTGTTGCTACTACTGCTGTTGTTAGGGCCTGAACTCTCCAACCATCCTTTGCCTCTTTCACTAATCCACATGAAAGGTGGTGTTCTACAAGGTTCTGTCCTCAGTTGCCTTTGAGTCTCATTCCACATTCACACCACACTACAGCAACAGCCACTTAATGGACCTCCAAGCCCCGCCTCTGGCCTTTTTAATCTATTCTCCCCTGGCCACTATATTCTCTCTTTCTAAACCACACACCTCATCACATCACTTCCCTTCACAAAGTCCACACAAAGTCCACATTGCTTAACATGGCACACAAGGACCTTCAAACTCAGGTCAAACTAATCTTTTAAAATTTCTGCCTCATCTCAAAAGCCCCTACTGCCTCAATCCTACATTCAAGTAACAACAATTTGTTCTCTGAGCAGTGTTTAATAGCTCTGTTTGTCCCTCAGCATAGAATGCTATGGCCTCCTTTTCTGCCAGACAAACTCCTACTCATCCCTCAAAGACCAAAGAAGATTTATTTTCTCAAACTTGCCACAACTCACCCAGGGAAAGTAATTCATTCCTCTCTTATGTTCTACAGAGCGTACCCCTGCATTATGGCACTTGTCACTCTGGCTCCCAAGCAAGGTCTCTGCATTCCCCACCAAACAGGAAGCATCCTGGGATAAGGATGCTTATCCTAGTCACCTTTCAGTCCCCAGAGCCAGCCCAGAATCTGGCACAGAGAAGGTGCCCAGTATCATAAGTTTCCTGTAAATTTAGGGAATGGGACAAAACAGTCTCTAAGGTCCCTTCTAAAATCTCAGGAACAACTATTGGCAATGGAAAGCTGAAACAACTATTGCAACCAATTGAAGGTGGCACCTGTCAGCAATTCCCCTCAGAAAACAATGTATCTATCTATCATGAGAGTCAGAGAATACTGAACAAGGAATTCAAGAGACTGAATGCTAGTCTTACTTCTTCATGTCCTTAGTGAAGTTGTTTAATCTTCCTCAGCCTTGGAAGAAGTTGGATGAGTTCATTTCGGGTGTTGACTTATAATTCAAATATCATAACATGCAATCTTATTAAAAATGAACAGATGAACGAACAAGTGAATGAACGAATGAATGGTGAAGTGTCTTATAGCTGCTAGAAATTATGTGTAACCCATCCCTAATAATTCACTGCCACCTGGATAGAATTTGCATTTAGCCATCAGTGTCCAGCACTGAAGGCAACCCTGCAGATGTGGTCTGACCACACCTGTGGAGCATGCAACTATTATTTCTTATGCTTCAGCCATGACTGTGTATGTAGCTCCTCTACAAAAACACTTGACAGTCAACACTACAGCGTTCTTGTTTAGAATTATTTGGGGTATAAATTTTAAAAGGAATAAACATTTAGACTCTAAAAATGTTGAAGAAATAAGTTAGTAGTACTGGTGGTTAAAAAAAAAATAGCCCAAAATCTATGTATGGGTGAGGGTATAAAAAAGATCTGTATTGCAAAAAGCTCGATTTCTTTTTAACACATCTGATTTTCTGTAATGATACATCTGAATAAATAATAGTTATTTAAAATTGGTGCAGTGTGAATTATAGTACCGCGTCGCTTTTTTTAAATATTTGCAAACAACTGTCTACATAAAAATGTAAAACTTTAGACCTAGTTGATGGATAAAAATAAAACTAGTTTTCTTTTAAAATATGACTGCTATCCACATGCCTCTAAATGAAATGGTTCCATTTCCTCTATTTATAATATGCAGATAACAAAAGCAAATCCCCCTTATCACAAGAGAATTACAAATTGTTTGATGGCATACGCTTTCATTCTTCCTTAAATCCTCTGCACCGTCAGTGGTGGGCACAGGATTTAGGAATGGAGGTGGCAAATGAGGAAGGTAGAAGGCCCTCCCCGACTTGCCTGCTATCTTTTTCTGGGATTTCTTTGATGGCTATTTGCACTTGATTACTCAGATCTCTTCCAGCATACACAACCCCGAACGTGCCTTTCCCCAGCACAACTCGAGCGCCATCTGCCTCACAGTCATACTCGTACTAAAGAAGGAAAAATAACAAGGTAAAAAAGCATACAACTTGTGGAGAAGCTTCATAAAAGCCCAAACGCTATCCTGCCATTTAAAAAAATTTATAAATAACATTATTTGAGTACCAGGCAGGTCACTTTGCTTAGGTTATATACTTCTCATTAAATAACCACTTTAAAGGGGTAGAATTCTCAGTTACTCATAAATTCACATGATTTTATGAAATGGAATTTAAGAAATTTACAAATATGGCTCATGTATAATGCAGCTGGCTCATCTTTTGGACATTTCTCCCCACTTTAATGTTGTAATTTAAAAACGCTTCTTAGCATATCAACTTCCCAAAATAGGTGTCTTCCTGCATGATACCTTATCAATTTGTCACAAAACAAACTTCTACAGCCCAGAAAAGAATTGAAGGTCAATAAAATTAAAACTGTCTTAATACAAAGTATTAAGCTTTGCTGCTCCCCAACACCTTTTAGATGTATAGATCTAGCATTACACATACTGTAAAAATGTGACCTACAATTAGGATTGCTATTTTGTTCCCCAAAACTTATTATCAAAAGTTGGTGCACATCAGCGCATTCTCGCTGATTTTTCTCAAAGATTAAAACAAACAGAACTCTAGGCTGAGCAATACTTCTTTAAAGAAGAGACAGCAACAGATTCTGTCCTTTTCTATACTCCACAGTGCCAACTTACAAAAGCACACAGAACAACGTGTGTGCATGAGTATGCGTGTTTGTGTCACTTCCAAATCAACTTCTAGGAGTGCTCATAATGATTAAGATTACTAATGGGTCCCCATCACTATCTGACTTAACCAGACATCAGCCTGCTCCATAAAAGGCTTTTACTCATAACTTTCTCTGCCTTCACATCTGTTATCTTCAAAGTACATCACTCAGTTTGTTTCTACAATAAACTTTGGTTCTAAGCTACAAATTAAAGTACCTGACTCAATTATTAAAATGAACCTCTTTGATATTTTCCTGAAAGAAGCCTCAAGGAATTAATTTTAGTCAAACTTTATAGTAAAATTTCATTAATCATTAGGAGAATCTGAATTAATGGCAAATCTGAATAGCTGCACAAGATTTAACTATATGTGTAATGGGGGACTACAACAGTGCTGTCCAAAAGAGCTTATAATGATCCTTTTGTAAAAATGAATTTAAAATTGTTATATTTAATATATCATATGTAAGCAGATATAATATTGTATGCCAACTGTAATTGAAAAATTAAAAAATTATTAAAATAAAATATAAAGAATTTTCACACAAAAAATGGAACATTTTCTTTATGCACCGAAGATACAATAAATTTTTCCATGTTGTAGGTCTTCTATGACTCACGTCTAAGGCCTCCCCTTGAGCATCTACTTCCAGCTCCACTGTACTGCCCATTGCAACGGTTATCATCTCTTTGACCAAAGTGCAAAACCTAGGATAGCAAATGTTACAAAAATGCTAATCATGATCACTTTTGTTCTCTATCCTTACTTTAGCCTTCTTACATTAAACTGTGATTAAATATAAACCAAGCTTTCACAAGTTCATGAAAGCATTAAATTGAGAAAGATAAAGATTGATAAAACTTGTTCTAGATAAAGGGGACTATACAGATATGACAACTAAATGCAACATGTGATCTTGGATTGGATCGTGGACCAGAGAAAAAATCTTTTGTTTTGCTGTAAACAACATTAGGGGAATAATAAGTAAAATTTGGATAAGGTTTCTAGATTATAGTATCACATCAATCTTAATTTTCTGATTAGATAACTGTACTGTGATTACATAAGTGAATCGCCTTGTTTTTAGGAAATACCTTATTTTTAGGAAGTATTTAGAGGTGATGGAGCATAATGTCTACAACTTACCCTTAAACAGTTCAGAAAAAATAACCCTATGCAAATAGAGAGAATGTAAAGCAAATGTGGTAAAAGGGTTAACACTGGGGAATTCTGGGTGAAAAATATAGGAAAATTCTTTGTACTGTTTTCTAAACTTTCTTATAGGTCTGAATACTTTCCGAAATAAAAAGTTAAAAAAATTGTAATTGGTAAAAGGATTTGAGTAGATATTTCTCCAAGGAAGATATATAAATGGTCAATAAGCTCACGAAAAGATACTCAGTATCATTAGTCATTAGATAAATGAAAATCAATCCCACAATGAGATTCCACCCAACATCCACTAGGATGGCTATAATCAAATGAACAGACAATAACAAGTATTGCAAGGATGTGAAGAAATTAGAACCCTCACATACATTGCTGATGGGAATGTAAAATGGGAAAACAGTCTGGCAGTTCCTCAGAAGATTAAACGGAGTTATCGTAAGACCCACTAATTTGACTCTAAGGGAAGTATAAACATATGGCCACAAAAAACATGCATGAAAATGTTCATTGCAGCATTATTCATAATAGCCAAAAAGTGGAAATAACCTAAATGCCTTTAACTGATGAGATAAATTAAATGTGGTCTATCCACACAATGGGATACTATGCAGCCACAGAAAGGAATGAACTACTGATACATGCTACAACATGGATGAACTTGAAAACTTTATAAGTAGAAGAAGCCAGTCGCAACAGACCACATGCTATATGATTTGATTTACATGAACTGGCAAGAATAGGCAAATCCATAGAGACAGAAAGATTACTGATTTTGTAGGGCTGGGATTGGGGGGTTAGGTCAAGGGAAAAGGGGAGTGACTGTTAACAGGTACTGGGTTTCTTTGGGGGGTGACGAAAATATTCTAAAACCAGATGATGGTGATGGTTGCAAAACTGTAAATATACTTAAAAAAAGATTAAATTGCAAACTTTAAATAAGCAAATTTCATGGTATATGAATCATATCTCAATAAAACTATAAAAGTAATTGTCCATATTAAAATTTCAGGAAAGCTAATATAGCAAATAAATTTTTCACAACAAAGAGTCCTTTAAAAGGATTCACCAAAATTAGATTGTAAATACTTGAATCAGTTATAACTCACCTATGACAGTGGTCTTTGGTGGGAAAGCAGATGTGAAAGTCATCAAAATTATGATGGACATAAAGAAAACAACACCGTTCATCAAACTTGAATATGCTGTAAAATTTCAAAACATAAGAATGATTATATGTAAGTTATGACATTAATTTTAAAATCTGAGAAAAATCTAGTAACAGATTTTCTTCCATTTTACAAATTTGAAAGATTCACTGTTTTAACAAATATCCCCAAAATTTGACTTCTATTTCTCTATGAAATTTAAATAGCAGGAACATTTATCTTGCTTATGTTTGAGTTTGTATTCATCAGCTGACTTTAATTTGTATCAAGAACTTACCACATATTCAGTGCTAAGCAAAGCATACGGAGCAGCAGAAAAAGGAATAAAATATGGTCTCTGTCCCCAAGAGTTTATAATTTAACAAAAAATACAGGACAGGTAATAGTGAAATAATTTATTATGGTAACGAAGGAAGTTCTAGACTTGAAAAATAGCAGGACACAGTATTTGTGGCCACAAAGGGAAGTATAAATAAACATGGCATCTTAAGTCAAAGAAAGGCCTTTAAATATTATCTGGTCCATTCCCACCTGGTCTGGATCTAACTTTTACAGCTCCTAAAACAGGCAATATTCAGCTTGCGTGAACATATCTAGTGAGAATTCAACATACCCCATCTGCTGATGGATTTCACTGCTTCAAAGTTCTTTATCCGTACTAAGTCAAAGCCTACACAATGGCCCTCAGTTTATCAAGTGACACTATGGAAAAGGCTAGATTCTCTTCTATGATTAGCTCTTCAAACAAATGAAGCCACTTTCTCTTGTCCTTTCTAAGTCATCTCTTCCTGAGATCCACAGCTCCTTTAACCATTCTTCATATGTTATGGATTACATCACAAATACTGAGCTTAAACAGCAATAGTACAGGGTGATTCAAAAAGAATTAAAAGTAGGTTATACACGAGTAAGTTTTGAAAACCAGTCTGTAAAGAAACTACCACAGTTGGTTGGACAGCACATGCTCTTCATGTCACACTGGTCCCAGGGTCTGATTCACCCCAGGCCCTTTGCACATCCCTGTTGATAGCTAAAATGGCAACAAGAGGTATCTCTATAAGAAGGTAGAAAAAGTTCCTGACTACATGTTCTCATACAACTGAGTTACTGCGTAATACATTTCTGAAAATGTTCAACACTTTTTGAATTATATTTTCTGAGCAGTATTATTCAAGTACATTACTGTCCTTAAATTATTTCCCTCCTTTTAAAGTGATGTAAACATTATCCCATTTAAACACTGATGTGTCTAGGACAGGATCATACTGTGTCTGGTAGTAAGGGGATTCATTCAGTGGCCTGTGGACTCAGAATCAGAGATAGGACACAGGGCTGTAGTAGAAGCTCTTAATTTGATGGAAACTATGAAGAAACTGAGACCTAGAGAAGCTGAGTGACTTTCCCAAGGTCAAATAGCAAAAGGGGGATTAGAACTTTTTTCTACTTTAGGGCCATTCCCATCTTTGGATGTGTTGGCAGGGTGAGACTGAGTGTAGCCACACGGTTCAGGCCCAAATGGTTACCACTCCTGACCCAAAGAGAAAGTGCCACACCTCTCCCTGGAACACACCACTCGACTCTCTTGCTAATAACTATGGCTTTGGCTCCATTACTCTGCCCAGGAAACCCCAGCCAAGTGTCATTACCAAGTAACTCCCAGTTTCAGTTTTGGGGTTCCTGAGTATTTGAATATCATTGGATCAAAGAAGAAACACTTTCTCTTTCTATGTATATAACTTCATTTTTTAAAAAAGTTTGAGACAAGAGTTTGGTCTGCTGCATACAAAAAAAAAAAAAAACTATTCTGTTATAGCAAGCTAAGAAGCCCTTACTAGCAACACATTAGAAACAAGCTCAGGCAAGGAGACAAAAGAGAAAATAGTCCATTTTGGGTTCTGTTAAAAATTGGAACATCACATATTATAAATAAGTGGAAACATTCAAGTAATAAAACATTATCGCCATCATTTGTATTAAAACAATAATTATATTTTCCTTATGTTCTTACCTTAGTCCCCTAATGGAAGAGGCTGTAAAATTCCATTCATGGATTTGTTTCTGCAGGTATCAAAGACAAAAGTCAATAACTTGATTTCTTTCATGCAAAGAATCATTTTTGGTTTCAATCTATGGCCAATCACTTCTACTATTTAACTTTCAATAGAGATTTAGGGGTTAAAACAACAACATATTTTGCATAATTTTGAACACCAGAAACATTTTCTAATGTATTATAAAAGTTCATTCGTATCTCTAATCCAGTTTAGAGCAAATGATCTAATTTTGAAATAGAAACAATAAGCACACATAAGTACATAGTGAGTGGCCCTTCATCTTCTGTCAACATATAAGGAAAACTCTAAAATAAGGGTGGGAACAGCCCACCTAAGTTGAGTGACCAGCAAAAATGCTTGGAGAAGAATGTGTCAGACACCAAATAAGTGTTCACCAATCTTTATTTTTTTTTCTCCTTGGGATGTTTCCCAGCCTCCCTCACAGCTAGGTAGGCCGTATGATGGCATTCTAACCAATGGGATGGAAGCAGGAGTGATGTGCGTCACCTGCAGGCCTGGTTCATAAAACCCTCCACAGCAGTGCTCTATATTCTCTTTCCCCATGCATTACAAAAAGGAATGGGGACACTGCCAACCTGGATGGGACATGAAGCAGATAATTTGGGGGCTATATGTTTTAGCGGCTAGACTACCATGGCTAATACAAAGACTAACTGGGATTTCAATGTGTACAAGATGCAATTCTTAAAAATAATTCTGTCCTCTCCCACTACCGCCATTCCCTACCCTTAAACTTTGCACAAAACTAAGCTTCAGAAGGAATGTATGAAATCCCAGTTTCAGAAGAGCTGTAGGCTACAATACCAATACATCACAACAATAGATAATTTTAAATAAGAAAACACATTTGGTTAGCCTGAGGAATGTCATAAATGATGAGCTAAGAGCCGCTCCCCACCTCACCCCAGAGATGTATAAGAGCCAAATTACCGAGCATATGGCTCAGAACAACCAGGAGTAGTCAGGTGACAAGTTTCCTGCCATCCTGGAGCCATGACGACAGAAGCCATGACGACAGGAATAACTGGGAGGATGAATCCAAATGGGAAAATATCCATTCTTACATATTGATTAAGCACCTACTATGAGCCAGGCCAGGTACCAGCACTGAGGACATAACGGAGAATGACAAAGTCCCTGCCTTCATGGGGCTTACATTCAAGTGAGGGGAGATGGGCAATAAATTAAATAGTAAATTAATAGTGTGGTGAAAAGCGCTACAAAGAAAAATAGAGCAAGGAAGGCTATTAATGTGGAGCAGGAGGTCATGATGTTAATCTAGATACTCAGGGAAGGCCTCTCTGATGATTGAGCAGAAAAAGTAGGGGTAAAGGAATGAGCCAAGAAGATAGCTGGGGGAATAGTACCAGGCAGTGGAAACAGCAAATGCAAAGGCCCTGAGGCAGCATTGTGCTTGGCATGTTTGGGAACCAGCAAGGAGGGGTGTGAGTGGAGTGAGGGGAGGAGTGGGAGAGAAGGTTGGAGAACTCATGAGGGAGATCGTGCAGGGCCCTGGAGGCCATCATCAGGACTTCAGCTTCTACTCTATCTGGGATGGGAAGCCACTGAGGGCTGTGAAAAATGAAAGTGTACAAAAACACGAAAGCCATTATATCAGACTCAACCATGTGGAAAGACTGAGCCTATTTCAGAGGAGAAGTATGTTCAAAGTCACTGAAAGAGGGTAGTAGTAGAGAGCAGGAGTCTGCCTTTGGATTGAGGTACAGAACTATGAACCAGGGCAGATTCAAAAGAGTCTTGTCCAACCCACATAGCCTACAAGAGGCTGCATTGTATGTAGAAAGCTCAGTAACATGAGTTTTCAAAGCATTCCCAGATGGTAGGTTTACTCTAGAGTAGCTTTAGGGAATTTCTCGATTTGAAAGGAAGATTTACTAGTTAAGAAGTGAACGACATGAACCTCCCCTCTTTCTCTTTATATTATAATCAACGGGCATTTGGGGTGAGGGCACCTGCTTTGCAGGTTCTACAGATATAAAAATATAGAAGTCATGCGTAGGCTGGCAATGCTGCTGGGGAGAAATTTTTGAAAACTGATACACAAGCCACAGAACGTATTTTGTACATGATACAGGCAATCAGGAATCCTATATATATTCAGTGGAAAGACTGAGAGGGTGGTCAGAGATGCCTTTGCAAAAGTTAGGACTTGGGTAATAGGAAGAAGGAATTCCAGGGAGGAAGAAGGATGAGAACAAAAGCAGAATGTGCCCTGTAGGGCCAGCTCCAGGCAGTCAAGAGACTGAGAGTGGGGGAGAAGCAGGCGGCGGGGGGCGGGGGGG